CATTGTTCAGACTGTTGGCCTCATCTTCGTTTTGCAATATTCACATTTTGGCCATTTTATGCTTCCTCAGGATCTGTTTATATTTTTGAAATCAGGTAATGCAATTATTTACACTATTTACATTGTTCAGACTGTTGGCCTCATCTTACGTTGCAATATTCACATTTTGGCCATTTTATGCTTCCTCAGGATCTGTTTATATTTTTGAAATCAGGTAATGCAATTATTTACACTATTTACATTGTTCAGACTGTTGGCCTCATCTTCGTTTGCAAATATTCACATTTTGGCCATTTTATGCTTCCTCAGGATCTGTTTATATTTTTGAAATCAGGTAATGCAATTATTTACACTATTTACATTGTTCAGACTGTTGGCCTCATCTTCGTTTTGCAATATTCACATTTTTGGCCATTTTATGCTTCCTCAGGATCTGTTTATATTTTTGAAATCAGGTAATGCAATTATTTACACTATTTACATTGTTCAGACTGTTGGCCTCATCTTATCTTGCAATATTCACATTTTGGCCATTTTATGCTTCCTCAGGATCTGTTTATATTTTTGAAATCAGGTAATGCAATTATTTACACTATTTACATTGTTCAGACTGTTGGCCTCATCTTCGTTTGCAATATTCACATTTTGGCCATTTTATGCTTCCTCAGGATCTGTTTATATTTTGAAATCAGGTAATGCAATTATTTTACACTATTTACATCTTTGCAATATTCAGACTTTTGCTTCCTCAGGATCTTTTTTGTGGGTAATAATATTCACATTGTTCAGACTTTGGCCCATTAGTTGCAATATTCCATTTTCATTTTAGGATCTGTTTATATTTTTGAAATCAGGTAATGCAATTATTTACACTATTTACATTGTTCAGACTGTTGGCCTCATCTTCGTTTGCAATATTCACATTTTGGCCATTTATGCTTCCTCAGGATCTGTTTATATTTTTGAAATCAGGTAATGCAATTATTTACACTATTTACATTGTTCAGACTGTTGGCCTCATCTTCGTTGCAATATTCACATTTTGGCCATTTTATGCTTCCTCAGGATCTGTTTATATTTTGAAATCAGGTAATGCAATTATTTACACTATTTACATTGTTCAGACTGTTGGCCTCATCTTAGTTGCAATATTCACATTTTGGCCATTTTATGCTTCCTCAGGATCTGTTTATATTTTTGAAATCAGGTAATGCAATTATTTACACTATTTACATTGTTCAGACTGTTGGCCTCATCTTTTTGCAATATTCATTTTGGCCATTTATGCTTCCTCAGGATCTGTTTATATTTTGAAATCAGGTAATGCAATTATTTACACTATTTACATTTTGTTCAGACTTTTGGAAATCAGGTAATGCAATTATTTAAAATATTCACATTTTGGCCATTTTATGCTTCCTCAGGATCTGTTTATATTTTTGAAATCAGGTAATGCAATTATTTACACTATTTACATTGTTCAGACTGTTGGCCTCATCTTCGTTTGCAATATTCACATTTGGCCATTTTATGCTTCCTCAGGATCTGTTTATATTTTTGAAATCAGGTAATGCAATTATTTTACACTATTTACATTGTTCAGACTGTTGGCCTCAGTTTGCAATATTCACATTTTGGCCATTTTATGCTTCCTCAGGATCTGTTTATATTTTTGAAATCAGGTAATGCAATTATTTACACTATTTACATTGTTCAGACTGTTGGCCTCATCTTCTGTTTATATTTTTGCAATATTCACATTTTGGCCATTTTATGCTTCCTCAGGATCTGTTTATATTTTTGAAATCAGGCCATTTTATGCTTCCTGCAATTATTTACAGGTATTTACACTATTGTTCAGACTGTTGGCCTCATCTTCGTTGCAATATTCACATTTTGGCCATTTTATGCTTCCTCAGGATCTGTTTATATTTTTTGAAATCAGGTAATGCAATTATTTACACTATTTACATTGTTCAGACTGTTGGCCTCATCTTCGAAATTTGCAATATTCACATTTTGGCCATTTTATGCTTCCTCAGGATCTGTTTATATTTTTTTTGAAATTCAGGTAATGCAATTATTTACACTATTTACATTGTTCAGACTGTTGGCCTTATCTTACACTATTTAATATTCACATTTTGGCCATTTTATGCTTCCTCAGGATCTGTTTATATTTTGAAATCAGGTAATGCAATTATTTACACTATTTACATTGTTCAGACTGTTGGCCTTATCTTCATTTGCAATATTCACATTTTGGCCATTTTATGCTTCCTCAGGATCTGTTTATATTTTTGAAATCAGGTAATGCAATTATTTACACTATTTACATTGTTCAGACTGTTGGCCTCATCTTCGTTGCAATATTCACATTTTGGCCATTTATGCTTCCTCAGGATCTGTTTATTTTTCTGAAATCAGGTAATGCAATTATTTACACTATTTACATTGTTCAGACTGTTGGCTTCATCTTCGTTGCAATATTCACATTTTGGCCATTTTATGCTTCCTCAGGATCTGTTTATATTTTTGAAATCAGGTAATGCAATTATTTACACTATTTACATTGTTCAGACTGTTGGCTTCAACAATATTCACATTTTGGCCATTTTATGCTTCCTCAGGATCTGTTTATATTTTTGAAATCAGGTAATGCAATTATTTACACTATTTACATTGTTCAGACTGTTGGCCTCATCTTCGTTGCAATATTCACATTTTGGCCATTTTATGCTTCCTCAGGATCTGTTTATATTTTTGAAATCAGGTAATGCAATTATTTACACTATTTACATTGTTCAGACTGTTGGCCTCATCTTCGTTGCAATAATATTCACATTTTGGCCATTTTATGCTTCCTCAGGATCTGTTTATATTTTGAAATCAGGTAATGCAATTATTTTACACTATTTACATTGTTCAGACTGTTGGCCTCATCTTCGTTGCAATATTCACATTTTGGCCATTTTATGCTTCCTCAGGATCTGTTTATATTTTTTGAAATCAGGTAATGCAATTATTTACACTATTTACATTGTTCAGACTGTTATGCTTCTCAGGATCATCTTATTTGCAATATTCACATTTTGGCCATTTTATGCTTCCTCAGGATCTGTTTATATTTTTGAAATCAGGTAATGCAATTATTTACACTATTTACATTGTTCAGACTGTTGGCCTTATCTTCGTTGCAATATTCACACTCTGTCCTCCTTCAGGTGATTGGAATTTTGAACTGAACCCATTATTTTGTCTACTGGGGGGTTGTTCTAGTTCCATGTGCCATGCCTCTTCCTGATGTCTCAGTATCAGTTATCTCCCTTTAACTCTCCAAGTTTTTGTTCACCTCTGCTGTAGCCAGGTATTGAACTCAGATCGCTTTGGGTCAAGTCACTGGATTCAACCAACATTTTTATCCACTGGGCTAACAATGTAAATAGCTTGGTTTCATTTTTTTTTTTTTAAGCCATTAATAGGAGTAGATAGGTTTGCCTATCACCTGGTTCAAATTCCTCCCCAGTCTTTTGAACATGAGTGGAAGTTTATCCCTTGTTCTCTGTTTTGGATTGTGTTTCTAGATACTTCTAGGTTCTTTTCATTTTCTTTCACTCCCAGTAACTCCTTACATTATTGCCTTGCTTGGGGTGAATTGATAAAAAAAAAAAAAAAAATCTCTTCAGGACAAATGATTTGATACAACGCTATTACTGGAACAAATTATTATTGTTACCATAGATTAGAATTAAAAAAGGAATTATAAAAGTAAAAGCTGGCTGCTCTGATGAAATAGCTTTGTTTTGTGTGTGCGTGTTTTTTAAGCCATTAATAGGAATAGATAGGTTTGTCTATCACCCGGTCTATATTCGTCCCCAGTCTTTTTGAACAGGTATATTTATTTACCTGACCTTCCCACCAAGGCTGGATGCGACACAAGGCCATTTTAATGTAGGGAGGGTCATATACATATTTATGCATATGGGCCAAGGATAAAAACAGTTTTTGCCCAGCTTCCATGACAACTGTACACCGATTACACCGACCCAACCGCTTTAGTGTGATGATGAAGGTGCTGCAGCAGGGTTGGATTTGCCGAAGCTGAGCAACTTCTCCCATTTAAAATGAGAAACACTGATCCATTCACAGTACAGGGGCTGATAAGCACACCTCAGTAACCCTTATTGGCAATGGTTAACTCCTGTTCTAGGATTAGTTTATCATTTGTTTCCAGTTTAGGATTAGGTTCCCAGTTCCTTCTAAAGTCTTTTCATTCTCTTTCACACCTAGTAGCCTTAGTGGCATTATCACCCTGCTTGGGGTGAACTGATTAAGAAAAAGGAAAAACAGCATCTTTCTTCAGGATACAAGTGATCCCAGCTGTCCACAGATAATTTTTTTCTTTATTATCTGTAAATTGTCCTGACATTCTTGGGAAAGATATTGGAGTAGTTTTCTGTTTTTTTTCATGGTTTTGAATTCAGGGCTTTCCTCCTCCTAAGCTTATTGCTACCCAAGGCTAAAGAGCCAAATCTACCCTGTTATTTTATCCATAGTTGAGGGAGGGGAGAATAGACAGATTTATGCTTTACTTGATTTCTTGTTCCAAGCCACTCTTCTCACAGCCCACACATCCTGCTGAAGATGAGAAATGACCCTGATTTGCAGTGTGCTTTTAAGTTGAAACAACCCTGGTAATGCTGGTAGTGACCATTGTTGCTATGTGGTACACAAGCATCATCAACATCTATTGCTTTTTTTTTTCCCTTTATGTTTCTTGCTGAAATAGGAGGATGGGGGGGCATTCTGTATATATGTGCATCTCATATGCTATCAATATGGGATAAATGTAATCTATTCTAAAAAGCTGCAAGTGAAAGGAGAAGAAAAATGAAGACTGATTTCAAGAATGCTGTCAACAGAAAAAAAAAAAAACATTTAAAAAGTCTTGATACACACAAATAAATTTAAAAAATTTATTTAAAAAATTAATTACTTACCACAGGGAGCTTATGTTCAATTGCTATATGGAAGTCATCGTGACCATGTGCAGGAGCAGTATGGACCAATCCTGTGCCTTTGGCAGAAGTCACATGACTAGCTGGATATAATGGCAACTCCTCCAGACTGATTGGGTGGTGGTAGATCATAGTAGAAAATGCATCACCTAGTGAGATAAAATTACATTATTCAAACTATTGCCCTTATCTTTGTCGCCATATTTATTACATTTCAGCCGTTGTATGCTCCGGCCGTCTTCAGGTGGTTGGAATGTTGAACTTAACACTTTATTTCGCTCACTGGGGTATACTGTTCTAGTTCCACGTGTGATGTTTATTGGATGTCAGCTATCAGTTATCTCCTGTTAATTTTTCTCTGAAAGTTCTCCACTGCCTTAACCAGGTATTGAACTCACACTCTTTGGGTCCTGTCACTGGATCAAACCAACGCCTTTATCCACTGTAGGTTGAAATGAGGTAAGTGTGTGTGGTAAGTTTCACTCCAGGACTAAAACTTTGTTAGGTTGGTTAATTTAATGACATATTCCTTGTTGGGTTATTTAATGTTGAATATAATTTTATAGGACAGAATTCACAATGAATTAAGAGATAGGTAATCAAAGGTCTGGATTAAACTAGAGTCAGAAAGGGGGAGACAGGTATGGTTTGTACTAGGATCAAAAAAGGTTGACATTGGTCCAGTTTACACTAGGGTCAAAAAAAAGGTTGACATTGGTCCAGTTTACACTAGGGTCAAAAAAAAGGTTGACATTGGTCCAGTTTACACTAGGGTAAAAAAAAAGTTGACATTGGTCCAGTTTACACTAGGGTCAAAAAAAGGTTGACATTGGTCCAGTTTACACTAGGGTCAAAAAAAAAAAAAAAAAAAAAAAGGTTGACATTGGTCCAGTTTACACTAGGGTCAAAAAAGGATATTAGTTGGGTTTTATACCCAAATCTGTAAGTATCTACTCAGAATGTGGCCCTTTTGGAGGGTGTGGGGGTATTATTTGTCTGTAGAGTTAGGTCCCACTAGCATATCATGCTGGAGTTTTGATTTTTATATTAAATTACCTAATTACCTATCACCACTAGTAGGTGGCGGTTGTAATAATGGAATGTTTTAAGGGCTCTGTCCTTGAATGCCAGAGTGCAATCTTTTGGCAAGACATCTACAGTGTCTTAAATGTTAAAGACAATTATGAAAAAAAAACTTCTATATTATATGTGGCAGACAAACTTTGCTAGTGAGAGAGGACATTTTTTGAAAGGAGACTTACCATTAAATGTGCACAAAATTTTATAGTTGGTTCCAAGAATTTGGTTTACTGAAGGGAGAAACTCTTCACAGCAGATGTAGATATTATCATTGGCTAAAATGCAGCAGTAACTACAACAAAAACAATTGAAAAGAATTTTAACAACAAACATTGCTTGGAGGTATTATGTATATTTATTCATATATCAAGGAAGTAATTTTCCAATCAAAAGTCAAAATGAAAGATTGCATAATATATGTCAGGGTATTTTTGGTAATTTAGCCTATAGATAAACATTGGTTGGACTTTATAAATAAACTGGTTGGCCTTTACAATTGAGCCTATAGTTAAACATTGGTCAGTCTTTGAGTTTATAGCCAGGTTTATACTTGTATTTAGAAGCATTCATCTAGAAGGTGGCCTCCAGAGTATGCGGTCAGTGTATTTTAGGCTCTACTGACATGGCACCAAGCCCCAAGTTGTTGAGGTTACTTGAACAGATTGATATAAATGAAAATATATGGAAAAAAAATTATTTGGGACTATTTTAATAAAACCATTTCCAGATTACCTTATTTGGGGGCTGAAACAGATGGCCTGGTTTGCAGGAATGGTCCATGGTGTTGTCGTCCATACTAACAGATAAAACGGTTTGTCCAAGAATTGTTCTGCAAGAGAATATGAGAAAGGTAAAACAAAAGAACAACTGTGTAGATTTAGATGAATTTGAATTACAATGTACAAGAAGATTTTTTTTTTTTGCTACATGGCTAGATGTTTATATAACTTTTGATAATATAAATAGGATTTATTAAATAAATACAAGTACCCTACTGATTTTCTGGTACTTCTACTGACCTAGCCAAAATTACAAGTGGACACTTGAATTTTTTGTACTCACACTAATTCATTGAGTGACCACATGTAGTGTTCTATGTGAAGCCAAACTTTTTTTTATCCAATTGTGGCTGCTACAGTTCCATCAATTTTACACAATTTCTAGCCTGTACCAATGCAAGAAAAAGTAGAAGTGTTTAAAAAATTTGATCATTGTGTTTTGGTATGGAAATTTTGCAAGAAATCCTCACAGGTTTACCAAATTATAACTTCTTTTATGAATGGTAATAATAGCCATTTGCCTATAAGGGAATATTTGGCATTCATTGACCAGGCAGCCAGTACTGTTTTCAGTTGAAATTTATAAAATTTTTTTCTCTTAAACGTATTTTTCAGGAAAACCGGCTTCTCAAGTCCAGTAACTGTTGTTGTTTTTTCCAGTACTGATGAGGTTTTCCATCATAACTTTCTATTTAAAGTGGTGTGGAATGTCAAGATCTTGATAATATTATGTTTTTCTTTGAGTTTATAATATCCTGACTCCGGCTTTGACTCATCTAATGTATACAAAAAAAAAAAAAAAAAAGGCAAAGAGAATTTTTTGCGATTCTGTAGAATCGCAAAAATCATCATTCTGTAAATCGAAACAATCATCATCATATATTCAGTTAGTGCATTTTGCACCACCGATGTGGTCACCACTTCCCTTCATCTCAGTTCATGTGGTTCATGGTGACATTTAAGAGAGAATAGTGCAATGGCTTGCTGGGTTCTTTTGCAACGGGGATGTTGAGGTTACCCCATTCCTCCTCTTAGATGTTAAAGAGGCAAAAACCTATAAAGCAGCAGGTGGCTTGAATTCAGAGTTTTCTTTCTCCTAGATTGGTTGCCAACCAAGGTTATAGGGCACAGTTTATCCTGCTATTTACTCATGGACTTGTTGAGCAGGATGTTAAACTTTCGTTAGCACTTAGAGACATTGTCACATTATTAGCACCATTGATTTTTTTTCAAATATTGTTATATATTGTGTTCTTTCTGCTTTTTATAGGTCAAATAAAAATGAGGGAAAAAAGGTTCCATTTTGAAAAATCAAATAAAAAAAAAAAAAGAATGTTTCTATGAGATAAGGAAACTGTATATATAATAGGCTGCATGAGAGGTTGTGTTGCCCAACAAACTACTTCTTTTATGTGCCATGTCCCTTCACGTAGGCGATCATGGCTCTCCACATCTTCCTATCCCTTGTAGCTCTTAATAAGTTTTGTCTTTTTGTTATTTTGTCCAAACCCTGTTCTACCATACATCTGCTCAACCTCATCAAGCATGTTACGCACCGTTTCCCCAGTCCCTCTTTCCATCTACCTGTCTTGTGAGTATTAAATTTTCCAAGCTCTCCTTACGTGACCCAGAAATTTCAGTTGCCTCTTCCTGATGTTATGTATAAGTTTCCATTTTGTTTTCATTTTCTCCAAAACCTGATTGTTGCTCACATGTTCGGCCCATGGTATCCTCAGCATCTTTCTGTAGAACTGCATTTCTGTTGCTTCAAATCTGTTCTTCATCATTGTGGAGATCGTCCAAGCATTTGCTGTCGTACAGGAGGATAGATATCATGTAACATTTCAGACTCTTTTCTTTGTTTCCAACAAAATTTTTCTGTCTCTTAATACTCTGCTTAGCTTTTGGAAGCATCTTTGGCCATCCCAATATGCCTTTGGATCTCAGTGTCGCACTTTCTATCCTCTGTTAGAACATTTCCCAGATATTTAAATTTCTCTACTTATCTGAAAACTTCTTAAATAATATTGTCAGAGTGAGATTTTCATATAGATGTCATACATGAGACCAAACTTGTTCAGAAATATCTCAGCTGTATACAACTGCTTTCTAAGATCAATTTTTTTAAAAATGGCCTTGAGTGGGTCTTGGCCAGGACCCTCCTGTTTTCGAACATTGTGGACTGGTGATACAGAACCACAAACAAAGAGCTGTACCAAATAAACTACATTGAGGACTTTCAGCAGCAACAGTTAAAATGGATGGCACACGTATCTTGAAGAAAAAAAAAAAATGATATAATCAAGATGTTCAATATTACTTCAAACAAAAGGTTAGGAAGAAAAACCTCCCATCAATATTTGAAAGAGTTATAACAGCTACAGGAAATGTGGAACCTATTTTCCTGAAAGATGTTTTAAGAGAAAGATTTTATAAATTTCAACTGAATGCAGCACCAACTGCTTGGTCAATGAATGCTGAATGTCTCCTTATAAGGAAATCAATATTATTACCATTAAGAATTTGTTTCAGAGGTACTGTAGTATCACTGTAGTATACAGAAAGAATTAATTGGTTGATTTGCTTATCAGTGCAAATATAATTTATACCCAAATCTCCATCTTTATGTATTAGGCAACTCCTATATATATATATATATATATATATATATATATATATATATATATATATATAAAGCATGAATATTTAAGTATGTCTTTTATATTGTAGATTAATGCTGAAAAGAATATAGTACAAAAACAAAAAAAATATTTTCAACATAATCTATTTCCTTGTTATTGTCCTTTATTCAGTAGTGAATTATTAAGAAACAAGAAAATTTCATTAGAAACAAAGAAAAGAGTACTGAACTGTAATCTATATATAAAATTCTGTGACTTCCGTTAGTTTGTCAAACCCTTTAAAATAGCCATACATTGACTGATTGAAACCAAATTTGGGGGAGAAGTGCAAACAGATAAGGGTGTACAAAGTACAGTTGGTTTTACTAGTGTGCATAAAAACTGAAGCACAGTTTTTGTCAAAGTATTTTTTCAAACAAATCAGCTTATTCAAATTTCATCAATTCTTTTGCAAAATTGAATGAAGTGTAGAGTTTGTAAATCTTGACAAAAAACTTTAGTGATGACTTCAACAATACTAAATACTGTGAGAATTTCAACAGGCATCAACGTGTTCCCCAAAATTCTAGTGTAATAAATTTCAACTGAAAACTGGCAGCACTGACTGCTCAGTCATTGAATGCTGAATGTTTCCTTATAAGGAAGCAGCTAATATTGTCACTACTATTCTTGTTTTCATATGTGGTTGTCATGGCAAAATAAGAAAGCTATGCTGATGGAAAACTACCATATATGTCAGTGTACAAGGTGATCCTTTTAGCCTTAAAATATCCCCCTATCAAAAAATAGGAAGCTGTTTTATACTCCAAGTATAAAATGTGAGCCTTAAATCTATTGGTTTATAGTAAGCTGTTAACATGGGAGTTGTGTGTCTCAACAAGCCGTTTAAAGATAGCATTCAAGAACTGTGAAAGGAGTGGATGGTTAGTGAGGAAAAGTCATTCAGGTTACCGTAATAGCCTACCGAAAACACAGCACCCACTCAGGAGGTATTGTAAATTGTGGTAGTTAATTGACAATATTTCCCAACATTTTTACATTAGAATTTGAGTGAAAAGAAAGTATATGCTTACTGAATTTATTCAATAAATTAAATACATTTTAAAATATGATTTGGTGGGATGGGTCATTTTGTATGGCAAATATAGCCCAAAACCTATATTTTAACTTGAAAAAAAAAAAAAAAAAAAAAAAAAAAAAATGGTGGGGGGGGCATATATGCCAGCATATACAGGACTAGTTTTTTTTTTTTTTTTTACAGAAATACCTAAAAAACTATATTCATGCTTATTAGTGTATAATTAAACAAATTTAAAAGATGTCTCTCAAATTACACTATTTACTTTGTTTGGACTGTTTCTCTCATCTTTATTGTCATATTCACGTTTTGACTGTTATATGCTCTGGCCTTATTCAGGTGACATATGTTGGAATTCTAAGCCAAATCCTTTATTTAGTCAACGGGGGGTAGATTCTTCTTGTTTCACTTGCTATACCTTTTCTGTATATCTCAGTTTTCAGTTATTGCCCTTTAGTAACTAAACTCTCCAAATTTGCTTTTTTTTGTTCACCTCTGCTGTGGCCGGGTATTGAGCTCACAACTTTTTGGGTCAAGTCACTTTTGGATCACTTCAACCAACACATTTATCCACTTGACCTTGTTTTATATTAACCTATTAATTCTCTCCACTCCATTTTAGGGATGGTGGGCATTAATGGGTTATAATTTTAATCAACATCAGATTTTAAAGAGTTATACTTTTAATAAGTACCAAATTTTAATGGGTATCAGATTTTAATGGGTTATAATTTTATTATGCACCATTTTTAATGGGTTATAATTTTATTAGGTACCAGATTTTAATGGGTTATAATTTTAATTGATGCCAGTTTTTTTTTATTTTTATAAAGCTATAATTTTTTTATTTACTATTGGTCTTCTTTTTGTGGCTATCACAATGTTTCAGCCATTGTGCCATCTAGCCTTCATCAGGTGTATATCAATCTGGGTAACCAACAGGGAATTCCAAACTGAACCCTTTATTTAACCTATGGGCTTGGAAGACTTGTTCCCCTGTTCGCCTATTTCTTATTTTTAGTACTACTCAGTTAATAATAACTCCTTATCCCAGAAATTCAAACAGTAACATTAATTAATATTACCAGGTCTTTATCTTAATTTTTATATTAATACTGAACTTTACTGTGGACCTTAATGGATTAAGAATGCAATAGAAACATGGCTCTTGAATCTTAATGAATTATTTCAGCTAGTATACAGATTGAGTTTGGCGCTATAAACCTTGTTCTAAAATGTCCAAGTTAAAAAAGACACTTACGTTGAATGAGTTCATGGAATTTATCTGGAATTTTAGCAACAGGAAATGTAAGCCACAAGGACTGGCTGACATGATTTGAATTGTAAACTAGTTCTGCTTCAGCTAATGCTGTTCTGCAAAAGACAAAATGAATCTCAGTGAAATTTGAAAATAAAAACAAACAAAAAAAAATGAATTTTGACCAGATTTGTATGAAAAAAAGAAAAATGGTTTGCATAAAAGAAAAAATATACAGATTTGCATGAAAGAAAAAATATTCAGATTTGTGTAAAAGAAAAAATATTTCAATTTGCATAAAAAATGAATTACAAATTTTTTATGAAAAAAAAAGAAAAAAAAAAGAAAAAAAATGAATTTCAACCCGATTTGCATGAAAAGAAATGAAAAATTTCAACTTCATTTGCATTAAAATAATTTTAACCTGATTTGTATGAAAAGAAAAAAAATGTTCCTTCAAAAATGCACAATAAAAGTTGCATTAATACAGTTCACAGTCATTTTTCAAAATATGATTATCAGGATAAATTTGGAATATTAAAAATTCAGTTTCATGGAAGCATGACTCTTCAAACCAATATTTGCCTGCCTTTGTATCTAATTAATCCTTTTAACTCTCCATTGAAAAAGAAAGAATTTTATAGTCATCCCACACTTTATATATCTGTTTGTACTCGGTAATTTACTCTAACAATGCACTTTTTCAGTCCGTGACTAATTTTCTGTAAACAATGTGTCCTCATTGTTTTCAATTGCACAGTCCTTTTGTATAGCCTTTTAAAACTAAGTTTTGACACAAAACCACAAATATGAGGTACCCATTGAGGATCAAACTCACTACTCAGTAGTAATGATTTGTTTGTTAACCATCGTCCCACATTTCATTTAGGTGGGGCACTCATTGAGGCTTACCAACCTTTTATGTCTTATCAATCCTTAGCAGTTTATTTAAAGCCAGAAAATATTTTCAGATTGTAAGAATTTTTTTTAGAGATAATAATGAATTACTGATACATGTCCTACTAATTAACCAATAGCTGGGAGAAGTGTTGGATTCATACCTTTCCCAAGGTGATTTGCGTGTAACTGAATATAATGAATCTGAGTGGAATTGGAAATCAGAGAGCAGATTTCCAATTCTGAGCCGTTATCCATTACACAACCTGTATATTCAAGCGATCATCCATCTAGGTTCTATCACAACTGCACATATCATACGATGTACCCTGCCTCTCATCTCCACTGATCATGTGGTCAAAAGAAATTAACGACTCTGTTTTGGGATGTAATTTCAGATTGGGCGTTTCTTCTCTCTACACTGGTTTCTTGATATTTATCGTTGTTGTGTTCCCTATATCCGCTTCATCATTTGTTCTATCACAACTGCACATATCATACGATGTACCCTGCCTCTCATCTCCACGATGGTCTACTTATAATCGCCAGTCACCAATCACTTGTTCGGATGATAAGCATACTAGACATACGGGCACCTCAGAATAGAGCACTAACACACCCAGACGTCCCTCCTCGATTTCATCCAACTACGTGAATACTATGTAAAGTTGCTAATGACCCAATTTCTTGTGGGACAACAAAGAAGGGTCTCTTTTTGACGGAACGACGCACTCGCCTTCTCTCAAAGTCCTACATGCCAGACAAAAATGAATCCTTTTTCGTTGAGAATAAGGCAAGTCCTGTTCACTGTTTCTGCCATTTGATTCTGGTTTCGGTTCACTATGTCTGCTACAGATCAGGTTGATGTTGCTTACTTTGGTAATTGTATGGGAACTAGTGTGATATGAGACAACCATTTAAGAGAAATAGATAAAGTCTTTGATCATCATTTATTCAGTTAGTGCATTTTTGTGCCACTTGTCAGCATACCCTCCATCCCAAAATCTTGGGAGGTTATGTCATTGTCTGAGAGAATTAGAAGTTCTACCAGAATTCATCATTGGCAGCCACAGTCTTAACAACATTAGATATATAGACGACGACAGTGTTGATAGCAGACATAGAAAGGAAACTACAATAAGTCTTAGGGAAAGAAAGCAAGAAGGAAGGACTAAACATCAATTTCAAGGCAGAAGAAAAGGAACACCTCAAGATGTGAACTACAAATTGGAGACATCGAAATCAAGCAATACAAAAAATTAAATATCTAGAAAGGTGCATTGTGATAACAAAGATGCCTTCTAAAATTAAACAAATATTAAAAAAACAGTAACATTTTGTTAGAAACAAAGAAAAAAGTACTGTTGTATAATACCAGTCCTCCTATATGGCAGTGAATGTTGGACAATCTCCTCAGAGATGAAGAAGAGACCTGAAGCAACAGAAATCAAGAAAAGAGTACTGAACTGTTACGTAATATCAGTCTTCCTATATGTCAGTGTATGCTGAGCAATCTCCTCACAGATGAAGAAGAGACTTGAAGCAACAGAAACCAAGAAAAAAGTGCTGAACTGTTACGTAATATCAGTCCTCCTATATGGCAGTGAATGCTGGACAATATATTCAAAGATGAAGAAGAGACAAAAGAAATACGGTTATATAGAAGGATCCTGAGGATGCCATGGACTGAACACAGATGTAACAATGGAATTTTAGAGAACATGGAAACAAAAAGGACACATATTTAGCATTAGAAAGAGATAGTTGAAGTTTTGAGGCTACATCATGAGGAAAGCGGGCTTAGGAAATTTGATGCTCACAGGACATATTGAAGGCAAGCAGTGCATGACCTACTTAACAAGCTTGTGTAAATGTTTGGCAGAACAGGGATCAGTAGAGATAGCAAAAAGACAAAATTTACTAAGAACTACAATGGACAGGAAATTATGGAGAGCCATGATTACCTATGTCCTGAAGGTAAATGGCACATAGAAGAAAAAAAAACAACACTGAACTTTACTTACCGAGATGATGGTGACCAATATACGGGCATAAATTCTTGGTATATTAAACCCTGAAATCAAAATAACCTTATTAATATAATTGACTGCTTCTCATATCAGCTGTGAAACTCTCAAAGAATTTTTCCTAAGCAACCTGCAAAATTGGTTAGTTAAAGAAAAGTTGATTTTTTAAATTTGGATATTTCAAAATTGCATTATACATGTTTCCAGAATGGATATAAACCAAAGTGAATCCTAAAAATAGGTATTGCATTGAAATATACAATGTTATTATTATATTATAATGAATAAAATTATTTTCCTGTTTTAAGGATATGCCCAATAATGGCATCCCAAATTTCCAAGTTGGTTGGTTGATTTTTTTTAGAGGCATATCAACCTCTATGAGTTATTTAATATTGAAATAGTTTGAATGTAGTTGTATGCCTTCAAACGCATACAATGTATTTTTGGTCATTTTGCTATAAAAATGTATTGTTGGTCATTTTATCATAAATATGAATTGTCAGTAATATTTTTTATATTAAAATGTATTTTTATACTTTCATAATGTTTTTGCTTGGGGGTCCACTAGATGCCCATAGCTGGGACACTAACCACCCTGCCAAATTTTGAGGAAATTGGTTCTGTACAGGCAAGTAATCTTTAGGAACTTATTCTGCTTATTTTCTTTTCAATCTGAGAATGGAAACAAATCACTTTATATAGTATAAAAAAAAAATTAAACCATTCTGATAATTTAATAGGAAATATTTATTTATTAAGATATTTCCAGATTGAAATTCTGTTATATTTCTGTTCAGAAGTATGATGCTTTTTGACTCCCATGTCATCAGCTGTGTTATGATTTCTGTTATGGTCCAGGTTAGGACCAAGGAAGAACAACACGAACACAAGAGTAGAAATAACGAATGTATATTACATGAAATAATAATACAAGATGTGGAAGGTGTTAGTATGACTATCAGTCTGGTTTGGAGTGATCTACTATTGGCTCGACTCGATTCGGTATCTAGCCCCCCCACCCGCCACGAGGGTTGCATGTGGCACAAGGCTGAGTTTAACGTGGGTTTCCCGAGCCAGTAGGCTTGGCCAAAAAATGCCCGTAGAACCCGTAAAGCAGGATCGGGTTGGTCAACCTCTCCGAACGAGACTCTTCCCTTCGGCGGAGCCTTGTCTGGGTTCCTCTCTGCTCAGAGGCAGAGAGTTCGACCGTCAAGCCAAGAAGCTTGGCTTGATTCGACCCTTTCTCTTGAGAGGTGTAGTATACATCTCTTCTGCCAGTTAAGAGTTTGTCAATACCCTCTACATTATTACTATAATTTTATTACTAGTTTTATTCCATCGTATTGTTTTTTTTCTCCAAACATTGGGTCAATAAACTCTTCATTATTACTATTATTTTATTGTTAATTTTATTTAGGTACCTTCACTAATTCACTGAAAAAAAAAAAAAAAAAAAAAAGAGAAAAGAAAAGAAAAAGAAGCATACCATGATGAAAAAAGAAAAAATGCACCAAACTTGATAAAAACAGTTTTATTGTCAAAATGTTTGTTATTATTAAGAGGAAAGACCAAAGTACTTTTTGATTATTTAAAACGATTATTTGAACGTTTGAAATTTTGGTCAAAAATCTTGTTTTTCTTGTTAGCAGAGAGACTATAAATTAACAAAGCAAATTTTAGCTTCTTTTTTCAGTGAAAATTCTTGCAAAAATCAAATAACTGTCTTATTTTAATGAAGTTTTCAGGACTTATTCACAAATGAATGAAATTATTGTAGAAATGGTTTTTTAGAAAATCTTGGTAAAAATATTTAATACATAAATATGGATGCTGAGAATCATTAGTCAGCCAGTTATGCGCCATGCATGATACACGCTTAGGTGATCATGTGTCTTTCAAGATGAGGTAGATTTTTTTCCTGCAGTAGGTTGCCATTTCTTTCTATGGTAGACCAGTTGCCATCCAAGGCTATAGAACTTGGTCTGTCCTGCTATTTACCCATAACTGGGGGGAGAAGAAGAGGATTCATACCTTTCCCAAGTGTATATCAGTAAAAGGATTAAACAAGGTTTTAAGGTTTCTTTGGGCTGTCCATGAGTCAGCTGGCTTTGGGCCATACTTTCAAACCTGGATCCATCTTTTGTATCAGTCCCCCAGTGTGATGGGGGAAGTGAATGATGTAAGATTCAAAACCTTTCATTTTGTCCAGATCTATTTGTAAGGGTTGCCTGCTTTCACTGATGCTTTATGTTCTTGAATTGGAGCCCTTCCTTTGCAAGTTAAAGGTGAATCTGGTTCTACATGGAATTACTCTCCTTGGTGCAACCAACCCAGCCAGGTATTCCACCTATGCCAACAATGTAACCATATTTGTGAGAAACAAGGCCGAGATTGAAGAAGTTGGCAAGGGAGTCAGTAGGTATGAGACAATAACAGGAGCCAAAATTAATCACAAGTCTGTGGGTTTGCGGTTGGATGCATGGAAGGGAGTCTCTCTTCCTGGTCTCTTCACTTGGACGGACGGGTCTCTTAAGATACTCAGTATCTGGTTTGGCCCTGACCTCCAGTTGGAGAAGAATTGGTTGGAAGTCTGAGAAAAGGCTGAGGCTGCAGTCCATCTGTGATCTTGGAGTCGGAGAAAGGTTTCCTTAAAGGGGAGGGCAGAAGTTTGTGCCTCACACATCTACCCCATCCTTCTTTACTGGCTCTCAATACTTCCACTCCCGTACACCAAGCTATTTTATTGGTTTGAGTCTCACTTCTTGAGGGGTGACAGGACTCCTAAGATGCATTGGCCGGTCTGTTGTCTCCACCTTTGGAATGCTGATGTTGAGATTTGTCAAGACATGTTGTGGCTAAAGTTTCTGGATTGAATGTGTACACAAGATGAGGGTAACAGCCTCTTCTGGAAGGAAGAGGCTAAGAAAGCATTTCTGTCTGAAACATATGCATGATGGCGAGGAGGAGGCCCACCATACTCCTTGAGCTGAGTGCACCTTCTATCGTAAGTGTTGACTAGCTCTAAAGGACTTCATGTGGGTTAAGGAGGGTCTCTACGATTGTTGTCTCCTAAGGCATTATATCGTGTGTTAGTCAGGAGGCGGGAGGATGCTACCCGAGATACTCTAAGGAACGAGCTCAGTTTGACAAATGACAAGTTTTGCTCTCTATGGTCTTGGGTGTCTGGGTAGCGGTGTCTTAAAAATGATGATGATATTGGTTGCCTTTTGTCAGCCCACTCCAGTATTTGGTTAGTTTAAATCATCTTTTCTTTTAGGCTCAAGCTGCTGAATTTAACTTAACTAAGGTATGATTGATCATTGACACCCCTTTATTTTTGCCTCCATTTTATCTTTGGTTTATTCCCCTTCCCCTCCCCATTTAGGTGACAGGGATTGCAGTTCTTTGGTAAACAGTGAGTCATTTTTGAGTTATTAACCCTGCAGTATTTTTCATCCAGTTAACATCTTTACCATGATCAGACTGTGAGGGTGCTGTAACAAACACTATTTTTGTTTAGATAAAATATACATTTTTTTTACATCATGAACATTGGGCTCTCCACAAACATTGTACACATGGGATTAGGTTAGGATTTCTTAGAGTAAATGTAGTATTTTAGTGTCTGTATATGGCAGTGTTGTGTGGATGTTTTGTTGAAAGGAACAATGTATGAACAATTGGGTCAGTAACTGTGGTTAGCTAAGTTAATGATATAACAACTGAACACCAGCCCCCCCCTATTTTGCCCACATGGTTTAACTTTTGTACAATAAATACCAGGAGTAAACAAGTAGATAGACATCTAGCTTATCTGCTTACTACCTATTTTGGCAAGACTATGTCAACTCCAAGTGACATACTAGTTCTTAATTGTGTTAGCTTCATTCAATTTGTTTCCTCTTGCCTAGCATAAATAGCTGGCGAAATTCAAAATTCTCAAGAAAAAAATTTTGGTAGAGTTTGTGTATATTCATAATGTGATGTGGAAGTCGATCGTCAAGGCTGGATGATATACGGCTATTAGAAAAAAAAACAAAACAAAAACACAAAAGCTTTTTCTTCCTAGTTAAGGACTACTGATATGAACAAAATACACTATGAAAGAATTGAAGATATCTATTCAGCAACAAATACAACGGAAGTAGATTGAATATCAAGAACAGATAAAAGCAATCCTGGAAAAGTAAGGAACAGATAATATGTCAATGTCATTTTCACCAGACTCAATTAGTGACGTATTATCTGTTCCTTGCTTTTCCAGGATTGCTTTTATCTGTTCTTGATATTCAATCCACTTCTGTTTCATTTGTAATAGATGTTGAATAAATATCTTCAATTCTTCCATAGTATATTGTGTTCATACCATATTAGAAAGAAAAATAACAGTATTTGTTTATATGCAGATTTTTCAACTGGGTTAAATGATTGCCTCCTACCACATGCATATCCCCTAACAACTCCAGAGGATACATTTGCCAAATTAAATGGTGGTAAATTTTTTTCAAAAATTGACCTACTGGAGTAATATCTTCAGATCAAAGTGGATGAGGAATGCCAGAAGTTTTTGACTATAAATACGCATAAAGGAATCTACAAGTTTAAAAGATTACCCTTTTGTGTAAAAGTAACCCAAGGTATTTTCCAATAAATAATGGATATGATGTTGACTGGACTAGACCGTGTTGTCATTTACATATACGATATACTTATTAAGAGTGCTATGAAAATACAGCACGTAAAATTGATTCAGGAAGTATTTCAGAGACTACATGATTACAATTTCAAAATCAGTGAACAGAAAGGTCAATTCTTTCTAGCCAATATTAAATTTTCAGGTCAGCTAATTGATGAAAAAAAAGGAAGACCAGATCATGCTCGAGGAAATGTCATTAAAGACACGCCTCACCCAACAAATTTGGTAACCCTACAATCATTTCTCAGATTTGTGAATTATTTTAATATTTATGAACTAGAGATGTACAAACTGTGAGCATCTCTGAATAATTTACTTAAAAATGGTACGAAATGGAATTGGTTGGCAGAATGTTAAAAATCTTTTGAAGAAATTAAAAAATTACTAACTTCAGAGTTATCACTGACACACTACGACCCACACTGATAGATTATAATAGCGTCGGATGTGAGTGAATATGGCAAAGAAGTGGTAATAGGCCATAAATTTGAAGACAGTATAGTGAAAGCAATCCCTCATGCTTCAAGACGTTGTTTGACAAATATCTAAATGCTACAGTCAAATTGAAAAGGAAGTGCTTGCTATAATTTTTGCTGTAAAGAAATTTTACAGGATGATATTAGGAAGAAAATTCATACTGCAAACTGTTCATCGTCCATTATTATGTATATTTGGTTCTAAGAAAGGGATTCCCATACATACTGCAAATAGACAAAAGCGTTGGTCTACAATTTTTTTGGAACTATGATTTCAAGATAAAATTTCTATCGTCAAAGAAATTGGGACATGCAGATGGTTTGTCTAGATTGATATCAAAATCTAAAGGAAATTTTGAAGATACTGTGATTGCTTTGCCGGAATCAGAAATTGAAATTAAAAGCCTGCTGCGTAACATTATTAAAGAACTGCTGGTTATGATAAATGAGATCAAAATTCATTCTAAAAAGGATACGTTTATTCAAAAAACTATGAATAATGTTAAGTCGAAATGAAGTGAAACTAAAATTAAACTTGCTAACAATAATACACCATTTTCTATTTGTGATGGGAGTACTTTTGTATGCAGATACAGTTGTAATTCTGTTATCACTACAAAAAAAAGATTTTAAAACAATTTCATGTCGGACATCCGGAAATAGTGAGAATGAAGTCCTTGATGAGAATCTATGTGTATTGGTCAAAGTTGGATAAAAATATCCAAAATATAGTTAGAAAATGTAATGGTTGTAATTCAGCAGGAAAATCATCACTTATAAATTATCAGGCATGGCTGAGCACTGATAAATCATGGGCAAGACAACATATGGGCAAGACAACATATGGACTTTGCTGGACCACTAAATATTATTTAATTGTGTTCAACAGTTTCACAAAATGACCTGAAATATTAAAGTGTAAATGACTGACTACTGTAATAACAATTAAATTCTTGTGTGAACTTTTTGCAAGATTTGGAGTACCTGACAGGGTGGTATCAATAATGGAACTCAATTTACTTCTAGTGAGTTTAAAAATTTCTGCAAAAGCTATGTGATTGAACATTTGACAACAGTGATTTATCATCTGAGGTTGAATTTTCAAGCAGAATGGTTTGTTGACCACTTCAAAAGAGTATTAAGACAAACTAAAGGTTTGGAAGCTGAAAAAAAATGGCATTACAAGAATTTTCAAGCATGTATCGAATGATGTCAAATGCAAACATCATCGCAAAAATGTCACCTGCAGAGCTCATGTTTGCTAGAAAAGTTAGATCCATTTTTGATAAATTATTGCCAGGAAATAAGAAGGTTTTTCAGATTCAAATTACCAGATCATTTAATATTGGCTATAAAGTTTTCTTTAAAAGCTTTAAGGCTGAGAAAGAAAATTGGCAGGAAGGAAAAATTATTCAGTGCCTTGGTAGTATGATGTATATTGTCAAAAGTGCACAATTTCATCATAAGAGACATCAATCAATTGAAGTCTAGATATGCACAGAATAAGAAACCAGTACAATTTAAGTTACCGATGAACATAATTTACAATACTTGTGAAGTACCTATTCCTAAAACTGAAATTATAATACAACAGGGTAAGCAAAAATGTAATCCAACTGAAACATTGGAAGTGGACCCATGTTGGGAAAAGTATCAACCAAGGAAAGTGCATATCTAAAAAGGGGTAGTAGGTATTGTGGAGATGAACACACCTTTCCAGAAGAGGACTTAGACTTGTCCAAATACATAAATATGGACATTGAGAATTGTCAGTAAGAGTAAACAAGGACAAGGAGGAGTTGTTCTCTTCCTCTCGTCGAACTCTCTGCTTCTGGGTAGAGAGGAACCCGGACGAGGTTATGCCAAATGGCAGAGTCTTGTTTGGGGAGGTAGACAAACCCAACCCCATGTATAAGGGGTCTATAGGCAATTTTTGCCCAAGCCTACAGGCTTGGAATGCCCCACGTTAAAAACTGGCCTTGTGCCACATCTTGCCTTGTGAAGAGGTTGGTAAATAGAAAGGAGTAACTAAGTATATTGCTAGACGTCTAGTTTATCTGCTTACTACCTATTTCACAAAGACTATGTCAACTCAAGTGACATACTTCTTGATTATGTTGTCTTCATTCAATGTGATGAAAACATAATGGTTAGGTGACATTGTTATTAAGTAAAAACTATATATACTAATCATAAATTGAAAACCTTGTTACAATTTAAGGAAACCCAGTATTTTAAAAAAGAATTTTGATGTTTTTCTATGTGTATAAATGTGCTAATTTTTGTAGATAGACATGTTCATCATCAGGAAATATGAGCAATAATTAGTAAATTTAAAGCTAAAATATCTAAAGTTCAATAAAACATCAGATTATAGAGGATATTTTCCTAAATTTTTAAGATTACTGAGTACTTAAAAATTATATAAAAATGACACTCATAGGATATTCTTCATTTATTTTTTTTACGGATATATCCACCCTCAAAAAAACACTAGATAAACATCCATCTGTCATTCAAACAGTCAATACATTACATAAACAGCTATCGCCATGTGAAAAAAATGCATTTCTGTGGTATAAATAATACTTATTTCAAATTAGATTAATTAAATGTTAAATCAGCTAATATATCGCAAATAAAGTCTCAGAAAAGTATATTTTATTTTTGAAAGATTTTTGCGATGAATGAAAAACAAAAAGAAAAAAAACCAAAAGACTCCTTCCAGTCAATTTAAATTTGTTTTTGAAATATAGCCAAGTATTTTACTTATTGGGAATATCAAATTTAATCTATTAGCTTGAAATTAAAACTAAAATAAAAGTTTCAAGAAAGATTTTTCGTTTCAAGAAAGATTTTTCATTTTAAAAAAATCATTTTAAACCATAAGTATTGAAATATGTGGATTTACCTAGTTTTATTCCATCTTATTATTGTTGCTTTTTATTTCAACACTCAGGATCAATACTCTCTTCATTATTAATATTTTATTACTAATTTTATTCCATCTTATTATTCTTGCTTTTTATCCAAATACTATGGGTCAATACACTCCCCTTTATTACTATTGTTTTATTATGCAAACCTATTCATTATAGAAATGTGTTACAAAAAATTTTATTAGAAATGCACAACAAATGACTTAGAGGACAAAATGACAAAGAGGACTTAGACTTGTCCAAATACATAAATATGGACATTGAGAATTGTCAGTAAGAGTAAAGTCTGTCGTAAATCGGGGACCTCTTGTATATACTGTATATAATATAAAATACTACTTTTGTCCCAATGTTGGAGGCATTGAGAACATTATCATTGTTGCTTTTTATACCAACACTCTAGGGCAATACACTCTTCATTATTACTATTATTTTATTACTAATTTTATTCCATTTTGTTGTTACTTTTTATCTCCACACTCTGGGTCAATACACTCTTGAAATGTGAAATTGGAAAAATAAAGCAGTTGTATCAGGATTCCATCTTTCAAGGATATCACTTGAACCAGTTTGCCCATCTAAGAATTGACGATTAATCAGAATGAAAAATCTATACTCATTCTGCCATTTCTTTCTTATTGATTCTGTGCTATTGCTGTTTTTGCTACTCAGAATAGCAAGAGTTATGAGATGAAATATTTTGTAAATCAGACAAATAAGAAGAGAAATCAAGAAAAAGAAGTTACCTTTTTGTACATCTCATAAAAGACGTTCAGTTGATTAACAGAATACATGACATCCATAGTTTGGTAAGCGTTATCCCAGTCACCAAGGATTCCCCATTTTTGAAAAGATAACTTCTGGCTCCTGACTACTTTTTGGGCAAATCTACGAGCTGAAAAATCAAATTGTGTTCATGAATATTTGATCAAGCAAATTTTAGATCTGGTAATGTAAGAAAGTTTTACAAAGAGCTCGGTATCTCAACTTTACGAATTAAATGCAAACCTATTCGTTATAGGAATGCCTTACAAATTAAACGCAAACCTATTTGTTATAGGAATGCCTTATGAATTAAACGCAAACCTATTTATTATAGGAATGCCTTATGAATTAAACGCAAACCTATTTATTATAGGAATGCCTTACGAATTAAACGCAAACATATTGATTATAGGAATACCTTACGAATTAAATGCAAACATATTGATAAGAGGAATACCTTACGAATTAAATGCAAACATATTGATTATAGGAACGCCTTACGAATTAAACGCAAACATATTGATTATAGGAACGCCTTACGAATTAAACGCAAACATTGATTATAGGAATGCCTTACGAATTAAACGCAAACATTGATTATAGGAACGCCTTACAAATTAAAAGCAAACCTACTCATTATAGGAATGCCTTACAAATTAAACGCAAACCTACTCATTATAGGAATGCCTTACAAATTAAATGCAAACCTATTCATTATAGGAATGCCTTACAAATAATTTTATGATTAGAAATGCACTACAAATGACTTTTACTATTGGGATGCATTGAGAACAATCTTCTGAAAGGAATGCATTAAAATGATTTTCCATCTGGATTAATAGGACGAGGAGCTATCATTATTTAATCTATTTACATGTGGACTACATTTTGAGTTTTCCTGTAAGAGATAAGGACATTTTCTTGTTAAACCATAAGTGGGTGAATTCCTGATAAAAATGAAAAACAAATTCACGTTTGTTTTTCTTTCTTCTCCAGATTTGTTGCTGCTTTTGGGTATTGCAAGACAAGATCTTATGCTTCGTCATCTCATCTACCAAGAGCCAATGACATCACTGTCAATAAACATACAAGCAGCTTAAAATAATTTCATTATATGCATTATATTTATGCCCTTCATGCGTTTTTTAGCCCTAATTATGCTAACATACAGAAATGCGTTGTTATGTCCTAGATTATTAATTTAATGTTACATTAGCATAGGTGAGTAATGTAAGTGCTTATTCATGGTAAATCATGAATATGCTCTGACTTACAAAAGAAAAATTGTGTTATGACGCATTGTAGGAACAGAACTTTGTCGTAAGTCGGGGACCTTTTGTATATACTGTATTTGATGGTGTATAAGATGCACTCCAATTTCAGCAGGGCAAATCAAGAAAAATATTAGTAATTAGTAAACCTACATATGGCATTTAAGACGCAGGGGAATTTTGAAAGATATTTTTAGTTAAAAAAAAAAAAAAAAAAAAAAAAAAAAAAGTGCGCCTTATATTCTGTCACATATGGTAAATTATCAGTCTAAGAGAGATAACTATAATAGCACAAAAAAAAAAAAGAAAGATATTTTCCCAGTGCAAGGGAGATAATTCAACAGAGCAAATTACTGCAGGTAAAAAAAAAAAAAAAAAAAAAGCAATAACCTTTGCTTCTGATGATGGATGGAGAAAGGGGCTTTATTTCTCCCTCTTGCTTTATAGCTTTCAGCTCAATTGGTAAACCGTGGCAGTCCCAACCAGGAAGATACTTAATTTTGTAACCTTGCAGCAATTTATATCGGTTGACAATGTCCTTCAGAATCTGGGGAAAGAAAAAAAAAAAAAAAAGAAAGATTCAAGATTGGATGTTTTGTTTAAGTGGTTTATTTGTTCTTTCAGATATTACCAAATTGACTTATTGATTTGTTTTCTATACTTATCAGTCATTAGAGGTTACCAAAAATCTCAATACTGTATGGGAATTATATACTACTTCTGTTCCATAATGGTTGTTACATTTAGTGTATGAATAATATTTGCAAATGTAACAATCATTATGGGACAAAGGTAGAAAATACAGGGTGCAACAGAAATACCTCCAACATAATGGTAAGACATAGGTGTCAATGGTGTCTTCATTTAGCTAATGTTTTACCATTATGTTGGAGGTATTTCTTACCTTTGTCCAATAATGATTGCTACATTTGCAAATATTATTCATACAATAAATGTACCAACCATTATGGGACAGAGGTAGAAATTATAAACAAAAAAGTGTAAATAACATATACATAAAAGACTCTCTGTCCCATTATAGTTGCTACATTTAGTATATTAAATATATATGCAATTGTACCAATCATTATGGGACAGGTAGTACATTTATGCAGACAGAATAAAAAGAAGAAATAGATAAAATAATATAAAATACTACTTTTGTCCCATAGTAACTGTTACTTTCAGTATAAGAAATACATATGGAAATATTTCAATTATTATGGGATAGAGGTTGAAATTAATATAAACCAAAGAAAAAGACTAAATAGGTAAAAATAATAAATAGATAAATAAAATCAGATAATGATATACATCTTTATATATCAAGAACAGTATTAGGGAAATTGTATGACAAAATCAAAAATGCTTGCTTGTGATGTGTTTTGACTTTCAGGACTTCATCGGACTAAATTTGTTATGTTGGTACGACTACACATGTGCATGAACAAGGTGTGCTGGGAATTAAAATTTTTTTTTTTTAATCAAGCCAAATTCATTTACAGTATTTTTTTTCTTTTTATCACTTTTGTTAGTAGGTATTCCACACTGTGATAGAAAATCTGCCAGGAATAGTGAAATGTAAGAACCATGGCGCAAATTTACTGTAGATGACCTTGTGATTAAGGCACTCTAGACATTTATGTCATAGTGAATTATTTTCTCCTTTGATCAGAGTAACATTTTTTATGCCAAAATTGTGGTCAGTCTCATTATGGTGGGCAACCATGCATTTGATGTATTGTTTTGTAAAATGTCTCTTTTGTGTTCATATAATCTTTTATTTAGATTCCTTAAGATTTCTCCTATGTATTTTTTGTGATAATTATTACAGATAGAGTAAACTCCTTCAGGTTTTAGCTTATTGTTTTGTTTAGTATTGATTACGTCTTTTATTGTTATGAATGTAGTAGTAACAAATTTGATGTTGAGTTTAGATTGATTCTTGTTGATTATAGATGTGAAAGTGTTAGTTGGCAGGAAATTTTTTTGAACAATCCAATGAATCAAAAAATATATATTTTATAAGCCAACAGATAAAGAACACTTGTCAAAGATAACTCTCACAATCTTTCATAGGAACTTCACATACAAAGGTATGTATATAAAAAAAAAAAGGACATCTCAACATGTGTTCTCATTGTGTTTGTATTCTTTCCATTTAGTTTTGCTTTGGTAATATTTTGTTAATAGTAATTGATTGTATATTCATTCTGTCTTTTTGAGGAAATTCCAATGCATCTACTATACTATTAATTATTCTCTGACAATAGCTTACTTGAGTTAGTGAAGTCATTGTATTTTAATTGCTAAGGTACTGTCCTGGTAAAAAAGACTGCTAAGAATAAGGTATATGAGTTCATGGTAAAAAAAAAAGACTGCTAAGAATAAGGTATATGAGTTCATGGTAAAAAAAGGCTGCTAAGAATAAGGTATACGAGTTCATGGTAAAAAAGACTGCTAAGAATAAGGTATATGAGTTCATCGTAAAAAAAGACTGCTAAGAATAAAGTACATGAGTTCATGGTAAAAAAAAAGACTGCTAAGAATGAGGTATATGAGTGCATGTTAAAAAAAAAGGTGTTAAGAATAAGGTCAAAAAGACTGCTTGGAATAATTTAGGCAGAGGTTTATTCCTTGTTTCTAATTCCGATTGCTTATTTAATGATCAGAGAACAATAACCTCAGAAATTAATATGAAAGAAATATAAATCAAAATTATTAACACTGCATCATTTAAGAAATTTGAAAACTATACAAATTCAGAGTTCGCAGCTTGAATAAAATACTTGATTCCTCTGAAAAAAAATTCCCAGAATTTGGGAAAGTGTGTAACAGAAAGACCATTAAATATATAACGGTACAGTGGCACAGCTAAAAACATGGATGGACAAAGAAACACATTGTAGAATATAATCTCTATTGTCTGATATAATGTAACATCTCGGCTCCAAATATAAGATGTGGTCAAGTTCATTGCTTTCTTGACTTTGTAAATTCTCCATTGTTCCTGTCAACGTCATTTATTTCTTTTCAGGATGTTCTTTCAACTTTAGAAGTTTTAATTTCTTCAGCTACCATCTTTATTTCTTGTGTCTCCTGTACTTCAGCTGATGCTTTTTTTCTTCTGATTACATTTTAAACATTCTTGACAGGGAGAATGAAATGGGTAATCATCCCATAATACTCAATGAAATTGCTTTTCAGCAAAAACTGCACAGATTTTTACTGGGATTCTCTTTCACTGGTATGTATGAAGATAAGGTATGAAGCAAATTCAAACTTTGGCCCATCCATTCAGGATTAAAAGAAGTACACATTTTCATTTAAATTTTACTAATCCTAGAAAACAAATATATATCACAAAAATATTTATATATATATATATATATATATATATATTTTAATAAGTATGTGGTGCAGTTCAATTTACATTATATGAATCATTGATACAAACAGATATAGAAGTTAATGATATAAATGGCGAGAATACATCTTCACAAACAAATTTAATAAAGTACATTAACCCCGAACCTGTAGATGAATGTTATGATCCCTGTTTATAAATTCCAGTTGCATAAGGTCTTTTTTTAAATTTTTTTTTTTTACAAGCTTTCATCTGTGCATATGTTATAGTGGAACACACCTATTCTATAGTTAATAGACTCTCCTACCTATAATAAGTAGGAGTAGTAGGAGTCGCTCAGGGGTTTGTTCAGTCAGTTGATGTCGGACGACCGTTAGTCGGATATTAAAGTATCAGCCACCACAACTAGATTACTGTGTCATTACCTATTATATCAAGTTCCTAACGTTTTGTATGTCGAACCTATTTTAGGACTGACTTAGTACAAATACAAGCCTCCACTGTGAAACCACTACGTTAACAGCATACAGGCATCATCAGGTATGTAAATAGATTTGTTCTTGTTTTTTACTTCCCGGTAATAACAGGACAACGAAAGAATAGATGTAATAAAGAAGTAAAATAATAAAATAATAGAAAGTAGAATAACAGAAGTAAAAAAACAAACAAATCTATTTCCATACCTGATGATGTCTGTATGCACAGATGAAAGCTTCTAAAAAAATAAAAAAAGACCTTATGCAGCTGTAATTTATAAACAGGGATCATAACATTCATCTACAGGTTCGGGGTTAATATACTTTATTAAATTTGTTTGCGAAGATGTGTTCTTGCCATTTAAATCATTAACTTCTATATCTGTTTTTTGTATCAATGATTCATGTAATATTTTAATAAATATACAAATTATCCTTCACTGAGGGATAATATGTATATTTATTAATATATACTTAAAAGCTCTGTTGTATTACATCAAGCACTGTTTTATTAACACCAGCACTATATGTGTGATATATTATAATTATATATATATATATATATATATATATATATATATATATATATATATATATATATATACACACACACACACACACACACACACACAAGGTGCGTTCAAGAAGTATTGGACTTTTGAGCATAAAAAAAAAAAATCTATTTTATACATTTCAAAAATTTTATTTAATCACCTCCAAAATATTCCTCTTAGGAGTTCACACACTTCTCTCAGTGGTTCACCCAATGCTGATAACACCTCTATAATGTCCTTTATGGAAAGCTATGAAGCTCTGTCATCCCTTTTTTCATAATTCTTATCCATGGCTCAAATTGCTTCCCTTTCAATGTGGCTTTAAGACTGGGGATGGACCAGAAGTCACACGGAGTCAAGTTAAGAGGGTAGGGAGCCTGTTGAACAAGTGGTGTATTGCTATTGACCAGGAAAGCTTAGATTATGTGGGCATATTTCATCGACACCCTCCACATGCACAAATCCTCTGTTAAAATAGAGTGCCCTGATCCTGTGCTTATTCCTACTTCAGGAGCAATTTCCTGGATTATTATATGGTGATCTTCCATGACTATTGGCCAAACTTTCTCAATCAATTCGTTTTGGCTTGTGGATGGCCTATCTGAGTGTGTCTTGCTTTCTACTGAGTTGCAGCTATGGTTGAATTGACTGTAACACTCCTTGAGCTGAGTTTTGCCCATGGCATCATTGCAAGAAGGGATGCTGAATTTTCTGGATGGTTTGAGCTGGATGGTTTGCAAGATAACCAAACACATTGAGCAGATATATTGCATCAAATGGTAGATACTCATATCTACCATTTGATGCAATATATCTGCTTGATTTGTTTGCTTATCTTGCATCAAAACAAAAATCTGACGACCTTTCACTACACGTCTGTACTCTAGGCATAACAGCTGAGAACTAACATGGCCTAATCATGCAAAAATTTTCATGTATGTGCAGGAATGTTTGCATCACCTCCCACCCAAAGAATTTTGCTCATGCAGCATTAGTTTTGGCAGGGAAAAATAAAGTTGAATACTTTTTGAATGCAACTCGTACATACATACATATACAGGGTGTATCAAAAATACTTTTACAAACCTTGGGGGTGAGTTTCTCACACCACAACAAGGACAAAAGTCCATATAAATATATGTATGCAACTCCTTCATTTTTGAGTTATTAAGTTTAAAGTAGATGCTATTAATTGCACAATCCAAAAATACTTTTACAAACCTTGGGGGTGAGTTCCTCACACCAAATCAAGGACAAAAGTCTATATAAACATATATCCAAAAGGCCATCATTGTACCCCACCACAGCAACTCATAACAAATGTTCAAAATGTCCTCTATTTGCTCCTACACAAGCATGTACCTGTTGGATCACTGGCCGACTTTTGTCCTTGTTTTGGTGTAAGGAACCCACTCCCAAAGTTTGTAAAAGTATTTTTGATACACATGCACACTTTCTCTCATATATATAACAAACATGTCATTTGATGTATATCAAGCTGCATTAGAAAATTTCTTTAAAAAAAAAAAAAAAATATATATATATATATTTGGTTGGATAGATGTGAGTTTGTGACCCTGGGTTTCACGCTTTAGCGATCGTCAGATATTGAGCGCTTTCTAATAAGTACCACGCATATAATATATAAATAATTATACATATATATATTTATTTATATTTATATACACTTTTCACATATATATATATATATATAAGATTGTTTTTTTTAATTTCCTGTTTTACAGGTTGGCGGGGAACCTTGAAATTTCAGGTAGAACTATGCAGGGAAATAGCTGTAGTATATTTACCTTATCTAATAAAGAGACAGACTTGGAATGAAACTTACCTTGTTCACAGCATGGCCGACATGTAATGATCCATTGGCATAAGGAGGTCCATCATGTAAAACAAACTGCTGGTCTCTGTCTTGAGTTAACTGCCACTGGTAAAGGGAAGTAAATCCGAATTTCTAACGAATAAACAAAAAAAAAATTAAAATTACGAGCTGTTTTACATAAACTACGGTGATATTAGGGATGAAATTCTTGAACCAATACATCAAAGTTTTAATTCATTCAAATATTAAGAGCATATATTGAGTTATTTGAAATGTCTTCACAACAGGAATGCATTGGAAATTATCTTATATTGTTTTTAAATATTTATTTGTAATTTGCAAATGAATTTTCCTATAGAATTGCACTAGAAATGATTTTTTTTTTTACTAGAAAAATGCACTGAAAATTATGTTTTTACTACAGAAATGCACTTTGTCATGTATATAGAGTAGTATCTATAACCTATCAACCACTTTAAATTGTTTAATTCTAGGAATTTCAGGTAATTATATCTGCTGAAACAGACAGGTAAAAGGTTGTGCACTAGGCTACAGACATCTTAGATAAATGAATGTCAATCAGGCGGAAGTTCAAGATTTTCAACCAAAAGCATTAAATTTGCTTCCAAAATATTTTGATATGCTGCAGCATTCATTCTACCACCTACTACTGATATGTTGCCAGTACCTTTTGCAGAAAAAACATCCCCAAACCATGATGCTGCCACCACCAAATTTCACTGGCGGTACTGTGTTCTTTCGTTTGAAGGCACTGCCATCGTTCCTCCATGCATGATTTTTAGAATTACGACCGAACAAATCAATTTTGGTTTTGTCTGTCCATAATAATCTTTCCCAATACAATTTTTTCTTATCCTTATGTTCACAAACAAATTTCAACCTGGAATCTGTGTCTTTTCAATAGCAGTGGAGTTTTCCGAGGAGAGTGTGACTTTAGATTGTTCCTATGAATTTCATTGCCTATTGTCCATTTAGTGACACAGATTTCTGATGAAAGCAAATCATCTTGCAATTTTTGATGAATAACCACTGGATTTTGTTTAATTTGAAGCAGTAATTTCTTCAAAGATCTTTCAGAAATCTTCTGTGGAGCATCTGTTCTTTAGTTTTCAACAGTTTTGAGTTTTTATACTTTTCAATGAATGAACTAATGGTAGTAAATGGAATGTTCAGGTTGTCTGAGATTTTCCTGTAACTTTTACCTTCTTTCCAGAGTTTAACATTCTGTTCTTTTTGTGAATTTGTCAATTTTTTATCTCTTGCCATGATGAAAAACTTCTTGTACGAATATCAATTACAGAATATTCTGTTTGTATTTTTTAGGCTAAAAATAACTACCGATAAGATTATTGAAGCATTCTAGAATATTCCACTTGAATAATTTAGAGTATTAAAGCAATAGAAAAATTTTTAAATCTGTAATTTGCATTGTACAAATACAAAATTTTTCTGTTTTCTATGCATATTTAGTTATTATGCATATGTGTACAGTTAATTATATGAAAAGTATCTTTATTGACTAGCTGGAAATACAATAAATTAAAAATTTGTATGCGTATGAATATTTGTTTTCTCCCACTGTATATATATATATATATATATATATATATATATATATATATATAAGTGGACACTGCAGACTACTACAGCTGAAACACACATGCTTAGCATATCAAAAATTCCCATACACAAAAAAGTGAAACTCTTTCAATTCAGATAAAAAAAAATATTATTTTATAATATTTTTGCATCATCAAAGGAATGTCAGTATTTCATATTTTCAACTGATCTCTTGTAAAAATAATTTTTGTAATTAATTATATTCTTTTAGTCAACATTTAAAAAAAATAAAAATAAAAAGAGAAATTTGTAGAAGTATTCCATTTTTGTTCTTTCTAGGATTTATCTTGGTCACCTTGACATGGTGCAATGGATAGCAAGCTTGTCTCGCGAGAACAATTACAACTGAGTAGCGAGTTCGACCCTCACGAGGGGCACCTAGTGAGGGTCGAACTCACTACTAAAAAATACAAGCAGAATATTCTGTAATTGATATTGTTCTAGTGAGACAAGCTTGCTATCCACTTTTGGCCTTGTGACACATTGAAGTTATGCTTAGAAAAATTACTTTTTTTATAATTTACCTTCTGCAACCAAACAATATTAAAAATAGATGTAACCCTGGCTAACAAAAAAAAAAAAAAAAAAAAAAAAAAATCAATAAAAATAAAAAGATTCATTAAATTAAATTTAAACAAATGTTTCTCACAAACATGAAAAGTCCCTAAGTACTGAATTTAAATAAACTATTTCATTTTCATGGAATTTATATTGTGCTTTTATTTAAAAATATAACAATGACAATTATTATGGAACAAAGGTAATATCTCTTTAAGTAATTCCCAATATTTACATTACATTTTTTAAGCATAGAACAGACTCCCAAGAGGATGTTTTCCCGATCACTAACCTGTTCAAGTCTAGCATTTAACTGTTATCTTCCCCTCTTATCCATAAACTACCCCTTAACGTAATCCTCTACCTCAAGTGGCCCACGGGCCTTCTGCAGGGTGACGTTACTACTGTTTAAAAAGAAAAAGAAAAAAGGATTTTTAATTTTTTTACGTTGCGTAATTGGAAAAATTAAATTAGGTGGTTTTTAAATAGTTGTAAAATCTAATTTCATGTTTGTTTATACTTGGTCCTTTTTTTTATGCCACTTCAAACGGCCACTTGATCTGAGTGTGGCGCAAGGCCGAGTTTAAGGCGGGACCCCCATACATCGAACCAGAGCAGAAGTGCATGTTTCTGCCATCTCGATAAATTTTTCTTTTTCTTTTTGGGTGGTTTGCCACTTCAATAGAGGTTTTTGCTTAACCAGGAAAAAAATCGTGACAACAATAACAGATATTTAAAATTATAATAGCTAGGGATTAGGGAGGGTCTCTCTTTTTTTAATCGTCGTGCGTGCGTGTATGCATGTATGTATGTATGTATGTATGTTTTTCTGGTTTGTTTTAAATATGACTGTCAAATCAAGATACAATAAATATCATATCTATACAGGGTACACATAATAAACAAAGAAGTAAACATGTAGCATAGAAAATAACATTATCGTCATAAAAACAAATAAACAAGCGGTCATGAATCTGACCTTCTGGATTTTTTTCTCACGTTGCAAAGCTGCCCCGTCTCTTAAGGTGAGAGACAACTTAGTCTTTGGCAATGCCAGCGAATATCCATACTCCTTATTCTCTCTCTTGTACTTGCCACTCAGCCTGATTGTCCTGATGAAAAAAGAAGACGTGACCCGTGGTGGCGAAAGCGCGTGGTTATCATTAACATTTCGAAAACCGGCAGCAATTTTCAACCAGAGAGACATGTTTTCACCTAACTTAGGTTGAAACAACAAAGCTAACAACATTCGCCTTAAAAAATATCCAGTTTTTGCAGTTTAACAAAACCAAAATCTCGATATATGTATTTTATAATTAAATGTATTTTCATAGTATTATTTTCCATAAAAGTAACAATGATAGTACCAATCTTATTAAAAATTTAGAAATACGAAACTAAATCGTATTAATTTTATAATCACTTCAAGGGAGGCAACTCAATTCATGAATTTTCTCCCTTATGATTTACTGAACGTAACTGAGAAGTGTTTTTTTTTTTATCTGTTAAGTTATTTATTTTTAAATGACTATTCATTTTACTTCTTTCTATTTCTTAAGCTTGAGGACACTTCGATGTAGCGTAATGGTTAGCAAGCTTATCCCGCTAGAGTTATTTTTACTGAGTAGTGTGTTCGACCCTCATTGAGTACTCCATAAACTCAGCCCTGTGCCACATAAGTTACGCTCAGTAAATCATTATTTATTAAGCTTGGCTTATTGCAAAAAAAAAAAGCAGTTAAAAACATGGAAATTGTAATGCACCATGTGGAGAATGTGTGTGTGTTTCTCAATATTAATATGTTGTAAATTTATAGATAGGAATGCGACACTCAAACATTAGTAATTTTAAATCATTTGCGCACTACAGGGGAGGCAACTAAATTTACAAATGTTCTCCCTTGTATTGTGACAGTATTGATAGTGAATATTGAATATTCTTTCTGGATATTTAAGCTTAATTTAATACAACAAAAAATAAAATGAGAACAGAATGATTGTGTTGCTCTAAGTGGAGACATTGCCTTCAAAGTCAGTATTCGGAAATTTTCCCTTGTGTTTGAAACATGGGCAAATTTGGTTTGGTTTGGGTTACTTAATGCCGACAAAATTTTATTGCTGGTAATATTTTTTAACAAAAATGTATTGCTGGTAATATATTTTTTCAAAAATGTATAGCTGGTATATATATATATATTTTTTTCAAAAATGTATTGCTGGTAATATATATATATATATATATATATATATATATATATATATATATATATATATATATTCTTTTTCAAAAATGTATTGTTGGTAATCTTTTTTTTTCAAAAATGTATTGCTGGTAATATTTTTCCGATAAAATTATTGCTGGTAATTATTTTTACTTTTACACTTTTATAGTGTTTTCACCCCAGTTTGGGGGTTAACTATTTGCCCGTAGCCGGTACCCTAACAGGTGCTACTACCACGGGTCATGGTGAATCTGGGAACATCAGCAATTAAGAGGTGGTTCCACGCTCCTCAAAACCTCATGATCAAAGGACTTGCTGCTGGATGTAGTTTATAGTCTTACCCAGGACGCGGATGTAGTGTTTCGCCATACCCAGGACGGCATGGACAAATTGAAAACCAACTGAGGATGTAGGATTAGTAAGTAAACATTCCAATTACATCGCTGTATGGATCTGTTAACAAATTTAGTATTATGAAAAAATATTTTTATTATTTTAAAAATGTTATAATCGTATAAATGTATAATCGTCTAGGTTGTCTTTTTAATACACGTTTTTTGAGAGAAGTGTATTTTTATGAAGGCTCGACGGTTTGTGTAAAAATTGAAGCATTTTTCATGGCCCTTTCGGCTCAGCGGTTGATACCACCAAAATTATTTGTCGAATTGTTGGGGGTTCACTTTTTGAATTCATGGAGAAAGGTTTCTATTTACTGGCCAATGAAAGACGAGCTCTTCAAGCCCTTGTGAAAACTCGGATTGAGCCGGTATGACGCTTCTTTGTTCAATAAAAATGACTGTTATTTAGCGGATTATCAAGAAAGCAATGGACTGTTGTGAAGAAAGCAATTAACGCTTGAGGAGAAGGCATTAGCGCCCACGCTCCAAAGACGAATGATTAGCCCAGCCGAGGGGGTCATAAATCAACAGGAGGAAAGAAATAGCTGATATATTCAAGGGAGAATCTACCCCTAGGACTGAACATTTCTTTCTGTGCCTTCCCGAGAACAATTTAAACCGAACGAACATTCAAGTTCACTTTCCAGCAAAGTGCTACAAAAAGCCCTATAGACAACAACCTGTGAAAACACGAAACCCTCTTCGTGCTGAGATGTCCCTTTTGAGTATTCAGTTAAGAATTGAAGTGGATGCGCTTTGTATTTTTTGCCTTGTGTAATTTTTCTTACTTCCTTCATGTTTTTCCTCTTTTTTTTCAATTTTAAGGGGTATAATCTTTTTTTGTCATTGAATCTGAGCCTTTTTTGTAACACTTTTTTCCTTATATCTGATGGCAATTCCTTTTTTTGTAACGTCAGAGACTTCTTATCCTGCTGTAATAAGCGAACAAAAAGGACATTTTTGTGCAACTTTGTATTTGTACCTATTTTTCGTAATTGTGCTGTAAAATAAACGTGTTTTTCTTTTTAAAATTTCACGCAATGTTTGTCTTGTTTTGTAATTTAGTACCTCTTATGTCTTGCTTTTCCTACTAGACTAAGTTTTTTGTGTCTGGCACAGGAACTTGGATTTGGTGGGAAATAAAATTTTTATAGTAGACGAGATAAAGAAATTGAACATAGAATAGGCTGTGGCAGGGGTAGTTTCACCCAACACCGCAAACTGTTAAAAAAAAAAAAAACCTAAAAAAAAAAAAAAAAAAAAAAAAACAAACAAAAAAACAAAAAAACATTAATCTGTAGTGAGCCTCGATTAAAATAAAATAAAATATCAAATATAAAAACAAAATATATAAAAAAAAAACAAACAGAATTCAAATTAAAATGAGTCATTAGTGCTTTTCTTTAAAACACTTCTTTCTTTCTTTCTTTCTTTCTGTTATATTCCGTGCTAATAGAAATATATACTTGAAAAACAAGGTGGATGAAATAAGTAAAGGTTTATTGTAAAAAAACAGTACAATAAGAATAAAGGTAACAGTTACGCATAAGGTCGTCGCAAGTCAATCCAGTAGTGAGTGCTACTATTGGAAGGTCGGTAGTTCTCGCGTAAGTCAGAGTCGTGCTCAACAGATACCAGCTAGTAATATTTACCAACTTCCCCACGGGGTAGGATGTGACACAAGGTCGAATGTAATGTGGGGCAATCCGAGCCCGTAGGCTCAGCCAAAAATTCCCCGTAGGCCACGTATAAACGGGTTCGGGTTTGTCTACCTCCCTGGACGAAACTCTTCCTTTCGGCATAGCCTCGTCCGGATCCCTCTCTGCCCGAAGGCAGAGAGTTCGACAACAGCTAAGAGCTTAGTAACAGATTCCAGTTACTAATATTTACCAACCTCCCCACGAGGTAAGATGTGGTACAAGGCCGAATGTAATGTGGGACAATACGAGCTCGTAGGCTCAGTCAAAAATTCCCCGTAGACCCCGTATAAACGGGTACGGGTCTGTCTACTTCCACGGACGAGACTCTGCTCTTCGGCATAGCCTCGCCCGGGTTCTTCTCTGCCCGAAGGCAGAGAGTTTGACAACAGCTAAGAGCTGAGTAACAGATATGGACAGTAGATATCTAGCTTTCACTTTCCAGTCTTGATAGAGTCCAGAAGCGTCTCCGAGTTCTTTTGGGTGACGAATTATTTTCCACCCGACAGCCCCTTTCTCACAGACAAAACGTCACAAGCCTATCGCTGACCCACCATGCCATGCCCATTGTAGCGAACCAGCCTCATTCCATTCGTATCCATTGGTGAGATGTAAGTTCCACTCGAGTAGCTTCTTCCCACGAAACGAGATTGTAAGGATCGGTAGAACACTTTACACCGAGCAGAACAAGTGCAACGGGGTTAAAACCGACGTGGTCGCCCATCAACATCGTGCACAGAAGAACACATCCAGAGGGTGGATGCCTCGATCAAGAGGAGACCCACGAATCACATTAGTGGCGACAATCGTGGGCTTCGTCTATGGATTGATTGATTTGTTTGTTTAACGGCATATCAGCTCATTGGTCATTCAATTTTCTTGGCAATTTTGAAGTAATAAAAATATGATATATATTATTCTGCTTTCACAATTAAATACATTGTAGATGATTGTTTGCTTCTTTGATTTTGTTTGGCGACATGTCAACCACTGCGGGTTATTTAATGTCGAAATATAGATATTTTGAACACAATTTTGTGGTTGCAATTACAGATAAATTGTATTGTTGGTTATTTTGCTATAAATTGTATTGTTGGTAATTCTATAATAAAAATATTGTATATTATCAAAATTTTGTGTCATGGTTATTTTAGTAGGATTACTGTGAATATGCGGTATTGTGGTATATGTTGGCTCGAATGGTGATGGATGATTTCTTGTGGTGAGAGAGTAAATTTTAATGAATGAATGGGTTGCGAATCAGATTAGCTAGGTTTAGCGTAGTCAATGTTGACTAATCTCACCTCACTTTCCCTTCGGCCTTGTGCCAAAATTGTAATTGTATTGCAATAAATGATCATTTTACTTCAAAACTGTATTGTTATAGCTATGTATTGTTGGTAATTTTTTAATATAAAAATATATTGCAGGTATTTTTACTATAAAAATATATTTTTTATACTTTCATAGTGTTTTGTTTTTGTTTTAACTATTTGCCCATACTTGGGACCATAACTGGTGTTAAAACCCCGGGTCAGGGTGGACCTGGGAACAACAGTAATTTAGAGGAGATTCTACGTCCCTCAAAACCTCCAATTACAGGTCTTGCTGCCGGATGTAGTTTATCGTCATACCCAGGAATAATCTGCAAAAGCCATAGGGCATGATTATTTGGGGTACCGTAAAGTTTATCCAAACAAGCAAGCGGTGCAAATATTTAATGAGCTTCTTTTTGGAAGGGACGAAGAAACTCGTTGAAAGCTACCAGAAGTTCATCACCTTTCAGAGAGACTATGTATTTGTTTTTCATTAACGGAAATAAAATAAAGGCGTTGTATGGAAGTATATATATATATATATATATATATATATATATATATCTCCAAGTATA